ATTCGAGTTGTTGTTAATTGAAATTTAAATTCCATAACATTGAAAATATGTAAATGCACGTTAGAAACGGATCTGTTTACATAACTTTGTGATTTAAATATCACAAAAACCTGAAAATTTACATAGAATTATTTAAAAAAATAATATGATAATTAAGATACTTCCTGAACATTATGGTTTATTCATATTCATACCGCTTATTACATTTTAATATATATTCTGTGACAAGATTGATTAAAAGCTAAATAAAACAGGTACGAATTTGATATTTTAATATGTTATAAACCCATATGATTTAAACATTTTCACAAATTTTCATAGATAAATATCAACAAACAACAAAAATATGCCATAAACACCATGGCAACTAACTGAATCGCGGCGCACGTCCAACGTCAAAGACGGCGTTAAATCTATTTAAGGCGCCTTTCTCAAATACTCTCAATGGCTTTCAACGCAATAATGGTACCCATAAATCGTCAATTTCTGACTTAAATCATGTGGTTGTTAATGTCTGTGAAATGTTTGGATGGCATACATTAATTTTTGCTATACGCGAACTTCCGGTCTCGTTACTCCTGTTTTTAGCTGTAGGAAATAGGCGACGAAGATCGGTCTTCCTATCCGTGTTTTCCTTATTTTCGCTTTTTGTAGCGCAAAACTCTGATTCCGTTCATGCCTTTTGTACACAAATGCTCAGAATATGTTGCTAAAATGTTATATTTGGTATATTTGTTGAAAATCGTTACATGTGTCATCTCGAAATAGTCATGAAACCCGAGTGACATGTTCATTGCGCCGCAAATTCTTCGAACGTCGCCATTTTAACTTTCCTATTTTATATCACAGGCGCTAGTCACATAATCAAATATTTTACATAATCGGTCTATATATGTATATAAAGATATAAGGCCCCCAACGAAACAAAAACATCATGCGGAACAAACAAGAACAATGCTGAAAGAAACGACCAGATCACGGTTATCTCTTTCTGGTTGCCATCTGAATGGATCAATCCAAGCGTTAAAGCTTTTTATTTCATTAAAATTCTTCAAATAGCAAAGAAATGAGTAAAAGTTTCAGAAAATGCCAATATTTTCAATCCATGTCGTTTTCGACGTCCAATCTATTCATGTATACAAACACGATTTCTGGTCGATTTCTACGAAATAAATAGAAAACATCTAAAATTTCCTCATAAAATTAATAAACAAACTCTTTTTCTATCAATCTGCGAAGTCTAAATTGAAATAGAGCCCTCTTTGTACTCAAATATTAAAAAAATATTGGTTGTAGAAGCGGAGGTCAAGTAAAGTGCGCCATTTGTAATTTGAAGTGACAGATAAATGAAACAAAGAAATAGTATTATACGATTGGTCAATAGTATTCCGGTAATTATCTTAACCAATCAAATCCTTATATAATATTCAGAGCGGAACAGTATATACATGCGCTATACATGGCGATAAAATACTGTCACAAGCGAGTTCCTTGTGCATTTTTTAATGAAATACGTACGAAGAGGGCATTTGATCAGTGAAGACTTCGCAGATCGATAGGAAAAGAGTTTGTTTATGGAACGTACGTGGAAATTCTAGCCGTTTTTTGTTTTTTCCGTAAAAATCGATCAGAAATCGTGTTTGTATACATGAATGGACTGGACGTCGAAAACGACATGAATTGAAAATAATGGCATTTTGCGAAACTTTTCCCAATTTCTTTGCTATTTGAGGGATTTTAATGAAATAAAAAGCGTTGGCACTTAGATTGATCCTTTCAGATGGCGACCAGAAAGAGATTACCGTGATCTGGTCGTTTATTGCAGCAGTGTTCTTGTTTGTTCTGCATGATGTTTTTGTTTCGTTGGGGGCCTTATATCTTTATATACATATATAGACCGATTATGTAAAATATTTCATTATGTGACTAGCGCCTGTGTTTTATATGAGATATTTTCATTTATTCGTATCTTTTTTTGTTTTTTAAGTTATTTAACTAAAATTTTCAGAGATGATTTAAACATAGCAGCAGAGGAAGTCAACGTGACATTGTGCAGACACATAATCAGATATTTGAAATATACGTAATTAATTTCAGCTGATTCATAACAAAATGTAAATTATTTGACGTGCGCCGGCAACTCAAACCAATGTCGTTAATACTGAAAATTTCTAAGTAACTAGGGTAAATTTTTTGTAAATGATTTGTTGTAATGTTAAATAATAAACTTAACGGTTATATGTGTGAATTATTTTCTATTGGCGTTAAAAAAGAACCGGCTATAAAATTTGTCACGGACTTTTGGGACAACCCTCGTACATGTACATATTTTTCTAATTTCAGTGCATGTATCACATAAATACAGGCTGTAAATACACTCATGCCATGGTGGTGATGTTGGTTTTGTTTGTTTGGATTTTTACGGCACGTCAACACATAACTGGCCATATCGTGCCGAATGCTATAATAGGCTTAAAATATTATGTAAAACATTGTAAATGACAATAAAAATGAGCCAATTAGATCCTAGAATACAAGTTTATCTCTTTTAAATAATCAATTATGTTTTTTGATGGAATTGTATTAAAAAGTTCTTTGAGTGAATTTACAGAATAAAATCTATTACGGGCCTGTGAAAAATCATGACATTCAAGAAGAAAATGCTTGACGGTAAAATTTTCATTACAACCTACACAGAAAGGGGCATTGTCATTTGTGAGGAGATAAGAGTGGGTAATTTTAGTGTGTCCAATTCGGCATCGAAGAAGAACTGTTTGGTCACGGCGGTTTGACAGAGATAGAAGATGGTGACATATCAAGAGATGGGTTTATATCGTGAAGTTTATTAAAAACGGCATTGTCCCAATTTGCTTTCCATTCAGATGACACGAGTTTATTTATAGCCGGTCTAAAATCACAAGCAGGTAACAATAAGTCAGTTTTTTGAAAATTTAATGATTGTTTAGCTAAAGCATCTACTTTTTCATTTCCTCGTATTCCTACATGGCTTGGAATCCAATATAATTTAACATATTTTGTTTTAAGTATATCATGAAATCGCAAAAGAAGTTTCTTTACCATGATATTGTCACATTTTTTATTTTTAATGGATATTAAAACAGAAAGCGAGTCAGAAAATATCACAAATTTATCGTGGGTATGCTGTGCTATGTTATGACAATGCTAAATCGATAGCTTTTGCTTCAGCAGTAAAAATTGATGCATTATCTGGTAACCTCATACTAGATGTAAAATTATTTTCATACACAGCCGCACCTACTTTGCAACCTTCTTTTGAACCGTCCGTATAAATATGTATAAAATCTTCATGTTCTTCCTTAATTGCTAGAAACTTTTCTTTGAAATATTCAGGTGAATTTGATGCCTTTTTTATATTTGAAAGGTTAATATTTATTTCCGGGGAATTATAAGTCCAAGGTGGAACATCCTCATCGTCATTTTGAAGGATACTGTCTGGATTAATTTTAAGTTTATCTAAATCATCTTTTAAACGAAGGCCTAATGGTTTAATTTCCTTTGGTTTGCTAACAAATTTTTCAGTATAACTTGGTTTGAAAATAACATTTTTAGCTGGATTTTTCCTATTAGATGAAATTCTAGTTGCATATTGAAGTGATAGTTTTTTACGACGAAGATAAAGCGATGGTTCCCCAGCTTCCGCATGTTGGTAGTTTTCACTCCGGATCACGGCAGTAAGCCACATTGAATTTACCAGAGCACAGTTAAAACCCGCACTGCTCCTGGGCAAACTGTCAAGCAGTTTACCATACTAGATGCCTTAACTTTCGCAAGAAACTTGTGATTTCTATACATGCCAGAGATGAGGTACAGTGCGAATGACCGTAGAAAGGATTTCATGATCAATCACAACGAAAGTCACCTGTAACGTCCGGGAAGCAAAACCCGGGTCTCCCGATTGACAGCCCAACGCTCTACCTATTGAGGTAGCCGGACGGTGCTGCACTATGCCGTGTTGTTGTATTATAAGTTTGTTTATACTCGGCGCCAGAATAACCATATGTCCGAGAATTATCAGCGTCCATGCCGGTCCACTGTTGTATAGACTAGTCGCATCGAGAACGTCTTTTCATGCAGAATCGTCCTGGAACCTGTTCTTCTCTCGTTGGTGATTGAAGGAGACGACAATACTATCAAGGCATCAGCTTTCTGACGGAATCTTTAACAAAAACGAACCTAATTGTTAGCGTTAGTCTTTACTGGTCAACCAATCACCTCTGGTACTTGAGATGACTTGACCTTGACCTGCCGTCCGCTTCTCCGCGACGTGCTTGCCTCTGGAGGGATTTGGAGAAGTATTATGCCGTGTACTTTATGGTTGAATATATACATGTAGTTTTTATTTCACACCTTATAAAAATTAACTAATGAACTTTAAGCATTTAAACCACGAGATGTTTCGACAGAAATAATTACCGGATTCAATCTTATCAATGAAAGTTTCGTTTCCATTTCCAAAGTTAAAAAAATCCATATCAAAATGTATATCGATTACCCATATAGCCTCGATCGTTTTCATCTACATAGTCCAAAATATCTACATGTATATCAAATGGATAATGGTACTTCCTAGCCTCATTTTCAAGTGCAGGGTGAAAAACTTCATATCAATTCCTGATAGCTAGTATTTGAAGGTAAAAAGTTATGTCAAATTGTCAGTAAATGTGAAATAAAGAGGTCATTATACATTGTTAAGAACAATACTGATTTATTTGACCCGTACATAGGTGTAAAACCTACATCAGATTCGCCTGGCGCCATGTAGCAGCTGTGTACTCGTCCATTGTGCCAACAATGTATAATAACCTCACATTCGACAAGGTTTATAATGAAAGGATTATTGTAGTAGTATCTCTATCCTTTATATTTGACTCTCACGGATTTTAAGGGAATAGACCCCGAGCCTCATACGATCCTATAACAAATGTTTTATGTAAATGAAATATAAAGAAAACATCAAATATTTTTATTAATGATTTACTTCTAAAATGATAATGCACGGAATGAATATCTACACACGACAAGGCTTTGGTATGTTCATATTAAATAACAATATAATTATATAAAATCAGATTTCTTCGACCTTTGCCAGGCCATTTTCTACCCTAGTTCCGTAGCGGTAATCTCTTTCAGTAAATCCAATGTATCTGTCATAACTGTTTCCATTTATGTTCAATTCACCGTTTTGCATAATTGTACTGTTTGTCCGTTCGTACGGATTTAAGGTAGGTTCCCACACACCATCTACCGGACCTGAGACAGTTGACCGGATAGAAGTGAAAGAATCATTCATTGTAAAATTTGAATCAAGTCTGCTCAACTGGCTACGTTGGAATCGAACCCGCCCTCCAGACATTACGTCAGAGTGAATTGTTCCAATGTCAGTCATTTTAGGACGGGCTTTGATTAAATCCGCACCGGTTCGTTTATTAGCGAACGAGACTCTAGGCTGCGTGTTATCGGTGCTCGAACCTTGTGGTGACTCAAGCACAACCCGGGGCTTGGTCCGCTGTGACTTTTTCATGCTCGAACCATTGCCCATAGAATTGTAGGTTTTCCATCCATATAACAAGTGATATGTACACGACCGTTGCTCTTCACAGGATTGCCACGTTAATAATGAGAGTAACTAAAGAAGTACAATATCTGCAAAAGAGAAAATAATGTGATCAATAAATTTGCATATATAAAAATTAAAAATACAACAGCACCACCATTTGTATAAAATTAAATCGAGTATACTGATCGAAACTTGTTGGTGAGTTCGGTTTCTTTAAAACTATATTATGTGTGACAATTTCGAATGAAGCCATTAAATATCCGTACAAATGGACATGTGAGAGCGATGGAAAGTAGCCGAAAATCCAAACATAATATGAGCCGCGTCACGACAAAACCAACATAATGGGTTTGCGACCAGCATGGATCCAGACCAGCCTGCGCATCCGCGCAGTCTGATCAGGATCCATGCTGTTCGCTTACAAACCCTATAACAAGTAGAGAAACTGATAACGAACATCATGGATCGTGATCAGACTGCGCGGATGCGCAGGCTGGTCTGGATCCATGCTGGTCGCAAACGCATTATGTTGGTTTTGTCATGACGCGGCTCATATAAATAACGCCATTTTCCGTGAGTGAACTATAAATACATAGAAATTAATTGTTACATATTCGTGTATATTTTTTATATTAATAATTACGTATATAAAGATAACACGTAAATATTTTTGATGACTCTCCCAAGAAATTGTCAAGAGAATCCATACATCTATAAGAAATGTAATCTTAATCAAATTAATCTACATTTTCTTTAAACAAAAACTTAATGAATGTTTCCGTTTGGTATGCCGTGGACTTGTATGAACAAAACGAAATCTATCTGCAAAGAAAATCCACTGTACCTACATTAACTTCCTTTTCTTTCTAAAAATACGAAGTTAAAATATCACAACATCTCTTTGTCTAAAATAAGTGACAATCCATCGATATTATTTAGGTTTATCAAAGTTACGAAAAGAACTATCTTATTTTATAAAATAGAAATATTATTAAACATAGAAAAGTACACGGGATAGATCGATTTAACATCAAAGAATCTATTGACATGCCACTAACTTGCTTTCAATCTATTCTATAGACGAGGGATAATATAGATATTCAATATATTCAAAAGATTTAGTCATGAATACATTGGTGAAATGGTTCCCTAAATAAAATACGTACGGTAGATCTATGTTAATATTTATTTGACTAAATAGATTTACCATCAGTAATGTGTGCAGGACAGAATCAGATACTTATATTACCATGGCTAATGAAAATTTCAACGATGAGCGTGTGTACAGTTGTATGTGTATAGTCGAAATAAATTCTGCATGCTTTATAAAAGAATGTGTGTTAAATTGTTTGTTTTATATGATTCTTCTCTATGAACATTTCGGGGCGTAAAACCCTGAAAATTTCAGCTATATAATCAGCATTTTTTTTTCTCATATATAAAAGCAGGTCCGAGAAAAATAAATAAATAGATAGATAAATAAATAAATAAAAAATAAATAAATACAAAGCAAATAAATAAATAAATACATTTGTGAATAAAATATAAGTAAATAAATACATTTGTAAATAAAATATAAATAAATAAATTTATGAATGAATGAATGAATGAACGAACGAACGAACGAACGAACGAACGAACGAACGAATAAATAAATGTTTGAATCTATAAAGCATTGACAATAGACATTAACTTTAAATGAAATAGAGGATATTTGTTTAGTTTAGTGTAAGATCGGAATATATTTCACCGAGTGAGCACCAAAAGGTATATTTCACGAGTGGCGCAGCCACGAGTGAAATATGAACTTTTGGTGTTCATAAGGTGAAATATATTTCAATCTAACACTAAACTAAACAAATTTTCTTTTTATTACATGCAAAGAAACGTTTTAAAAGGATATTAAACCTAATACTGAACGAAAAGCGCGCCAAATTATAATACAACGTGACGTCATTTACGACGTCACGTCAATAAGTTGGTACCCAGTACTGTGCACGCAGGTATTTCACTGAAACAAGGTAAGGGGCTTAAATTCAAAACAGTGAAATTATCAAAGTAGTCCAGTCATTCTAGCTCAAAATACAGCCAAACCTCAGATCGCTTGAAAAACCCTGTTGACCTTCAACGTAATAGAACTTTTGAAAATAGGAATATTTTTGACTAAAACATTTTTTGCACTTTGATATGAAATTATTGTTTTACAATGCATATATATTGCCCATTATGGACTATTGTTGTATTATATGGGGTAAAGGAAACACAAACTACATAAATAATGTTTGTAAGTTACAAAAACGAATTGCTAAAATCATTTTACAGCAACCACAAAGATCTCCGTCAATAAATCTATTCGAAACTCTTAACTGGTTACCGTTCCTTGACAGATGTAAATACCACACAGCGGTGCTTGTTTTTAAAACTTTAAATAACATGGCACCGACTTATATGACAGAACTGATGACTTTATCCGACAACAAAATATATAACTTAAGATCTAGGTCACGAAAAGATATTGTATTATGGACAAGACCTAAAACAAATTATATTAAAGACACATTTTCTTATTATGGCATGAACATTTGGAACAATATACCTTTAAATATTCGTAATGTTAATAACCTTAAATGTTTTAAAGAAAAATACAAAGCATATCTTGATGTTCATATGAATGAATGAGTGAGTGAATGAATGAATAAATGAATGAACGAACGAACGAATGATGCAATATACGTATATGTTTAAACAAATTGTTGAGTGTCTGTCGAAAGTATATGAGTTGTATTATTCTAAAAATTACATATTATACATTCATTTTTCTACCTATGCATGTCCTGTTGTTGTTGTTGTTGTTGTTTTCTATTTCAGAAGGCCACATTGGAAATAAGATATATATGATTGTTATTGTATGTTCTTAATGTGTAACCTTCTTTAAATAAAGATATTATTATTATTATTATTATAATAATAATAAACGTTAGGACCTTACATAAATAATTATTTTTATGTTCTGTAAATAATTTTTGGGAAAAATACCAAACCACTTTACAGTGTTGTACCTTTTTTTACTCACAAATGATTTGTTTACACATATTTTGTTGTTGTTGTCGTCATTCTGCAGACGTTCTTCGGGGTATCGGAGACGCTTTGTTCGCCTATGGAAGACCGTCCAAGTCAGAAAAAAATCATAAAAATACCGTGATAAAACTCCGGTTTTTTACAATGTTGCGCTAATTAGATTTTGCTAGACTTTTTATATGATTTATTTCATTCCATATGCTTTCTGTAGCAGGCAAAAAAAATTTCTGTTGCAATTTGTTTGAGGTTAATTTACAGACTGACTGGACTAAAGTGGTAATTTCACTGTTTCAAACAGTGAAATTACCAGTTTTATATCACTGATATATTTCTATAAACCACCGAAAAGCATGTAATAAAACAGGTTAAACTCATTTGTTTTTCAGACATGAAAAGTTCTGAAATCTTCATATTCGGTCGTTTCTCAATTGCACGAAACTAAAATATCACGTGACGTGACATTGATTTATAAAAAACAAAAATGTTACAATATTCAAAACGTTTCTTTCCTACTTACAATAGTATTATTATGTGAACTGGATATGGCGCGAAAACCTAAGCAACGGCGCTTTTTTACGTATGACGTCATATTAACGTCATGTTTTTCGTTTCAAAATGTCGGTGCTAAACAACATACACACAATATTCGGCATATAATTTACAAGAAAGGGGTTCAAGATTTTCAAGACATAAGAAGACGACACAATGGTCGTTTCAATCGTTTTGAAGGAAAAAGGAAGAAACAGACTCGGGGTATTGACGGCAATTCTTTCTGCAGTTCTAGCTCTAGCTGGATTTTGCATTATATTCGTTGGCTTATATATTCAACTGCATATTACTGATCAACTTATTCTCTTAGAGAGTTACGGCTCAGGCGTTTTACCACATTTTATTGTTAGTGTCGGGGTTATCATGTTTTTGATAAATGGTGCGACTGTGAAATTTGCATATGACAGTGGTTTCGCCGAAACATCCGAAAAATTTCGCCTTGTTCTTATCCCAGTATTGATTGTAATGTTTTTGTTTATTTGGGTCATACTTGCTGCTGCCATAATGACCCTGTCTATGAGAGGAGATGTCGAGGACGCACTGCATGCCGGCCTTAAAGGCGCCATGAAACGGTATAAGAAAAACCTACCTGTGAAAGTTACAATAGACAAAATGCAGATGGTAATGAGATGTTGCGGCAGCCGCTCTTATAAAGACTGGTTTGAAGTTGGATGGATAAACACGGAGTATGTCGACACGCAGGATGTCGATGTAAAGAGGTTTGTAAAGATTTTTATTATTTTCGATATTTAAACTTTTTTTCATTAACTCTCTTACAAAAAATATCAAAACGATTTTTTTATTCTTATTTTTTTTACTATTCTAAACCCGAACAAGAATTTGTAACAGAGTTACCAACGTCCCCCGCTTCGGGGAAGTTTTATATGAAGCATAAAATTGTGCTATTTCAAAAGATTGAGGTATGGATTTCAGGACTTTCAGTCCAAAATTATGATTAATGCTAGATCTGCAAATGCAACAATAAATTTATTAAAGAAATACTAGTAAAATGAAACATGGAATTTAAAATTCTATCATAATAACCTTTGACCTCTAAGTGTGACCTTGACCTTGGAGATAGGGGTGCAGGTGTTGTGCGTGACATATCGTCTTATTAATATTACTGTTTGTGCCAAGTATTTTCAAAATCCCTTGAACTATGTAGAAGTTATAGATCGGACATAAAATATACCCTATAACGGACTATGTCAATCTTTGACCTCTAAGTGTGACCTTGGAAGTAGGGACCCATGTTTTGCGCCTGACATATCATCTTATTATTGTGATTATTTGTTCAAAGTATTTTTAAAATCCCAGGTTATGGACTGGACACAAAATATACCCTATAACAGACTATGTAAATCTTTGACCTCTACATGTGACATTGACCTTGGAGGTAGGGACACATATGTTACGCATGACATATGTGATTATTTGTGCCAAGTATTTTCAAAATCCCTTGATCTATGAAGAAGTTATAGACGGGAAACAAAATAAACCACATAACAGAGTCTGTTAACCTTTGACCTCTAAGTGTGACCTTGACCTTAGAGTAGGGGTGCAGGTGTTGTACCTGACATATTGTCTTATTATTGTGACTATTTGTGCCTAGTTATTTCAAAATCCTGAAGAAGTTCTAGATCAGACAAAAAATATACCTTAAAACATACTATGTTAACTTTTGACCTCTAAGTCTGACCTTGAACTTGGAGGTAGAGATGCAGGTGTTGCGCATGACAAAATTGTGGCAAGTATTTACAAAATCTTTGATCTATGAAAAAGTTATGGACCGAACACAAAATTTACCCTGTTATAGACTATGTTAATCTTTGACCTCCAAGTGTGACCTTGACCTTGGAGGTAGGTGACCGGTTGTTGCGCATGACACATCGTCTTATTTAACAAACATTTGTGCCAAGTTATTTCAGATTCCTTTGATAAATGACAAAGTTATGGACCGGACTCGAAAGTGTAACGGACGGATGGACAGACAGACAGACGGATGAAGCCTATTACTATATCCCCCTTTTTTCTTCGAAAAGGCGGGGGACAAAAAAAAACCAGGCAGTGACCAGGTTTTGAACCCCGAACCTCTCGATTACACTGAACCACGTCCCTAAAGGGTTAACCCAACAGCCTTGCTTACGCCTGAAATCACTACCTTACCGTAAAATGGTTAACTTCCCATTTAAGGTTTGAATAAAACTCCCAAAATAAAATCATTTTTTTATTATGTTTATTATTGGCTATATAAATTTTGTAATTTAGACAATGTAAGATTAAACTTACGATACATATAGTAACACGTCAATGACGCGATGCTAGGCAGGCGCTAGGCCGGTGCTAGGCTAAGCATTTTTGTGTTGACCTATTTTCCTATCAATTGTGGTTTTCAGTAAGATGAGAGACGGCGATCTATTTACAGACGACGTCCCCTTTAGTTGCTGTGACATAAAAAGTGCACGTCCATGCGTTTCACACAGAGTTACTGATAAAGGACAACACAGCAATTACGAGAAAGTGACACTGTATTCCAATGGATGTACAGACACTATTATGGACGAATTCGAGAATAGGATTCTCAAGCCTGCCGGATCGGTTGTGATGCTATTGTTTGGTGCACAGGTACTCAAATATCAGTAATCTAGTAGTCTAACAGACGCAAGCTACATTGTTTGTCTTTTTCATATATATTTTCAGCATACACGGCATGCATAAATACAACATAATACTTTACGATCATGATGTATAGTTGTATACAAGAAGCTTTGGCAGGCGCCTACTCGTTTAACACGACACAAACCTAAATTTACAACTTTATGGTAATCTTTTATTTTTTTCTAATAGAATAGAAGTGACCTTTACCGAGGTTTTGAAGTTTTTACTTTTCATGAACAATCTTAGTAGAGTAAGTTAATATATGGAGGTGTCTCCAGTTACTGTTGTACACCTCTGTTACTTTACACCTTAAGATATAACAATTTCAGGTGTTTGTGATGATTTTATTGAGATATCTACAGACCTCAGTGCAGGGTGCATTTGAAGACGGTGACATGGAAGGACCCGGGCGAGGATTTCTGTTCCCCGCCATGTGTACATCATGCACGAGTGGAAACCCTGATAAGTACAAAGATGGAGGTAAGTAATACAACGCTTGAGTTTAGTGTTACATTAAGATCTCATCTTCCCAGAAATTTTGTTCACAAAACAACACGTGTTAAGTGCTGGTGGCAGCTGTAGAAAGTAACCTCGTTCTTCATCTTCGTGTTGTTATATTTTTCTGGTCCTTTGGGATCACTGATTTTAATACTTTAGTATTAATGATTGAAAACGGCGGTGAAAATGGGTATGAGATGTTGCACTTTGAATTGTCGCTTATAAACATACTCAATAAAACCGAATCTGCAGTTTTATACCTTCTGTTTTTTTTAAATTGCTCTTAAAAATTTAAATGATCTTCCCATTTCCAGATTGTTCCTATCATATATTAGTATGACAATTGTTACTCTGCAATGTATCCTATTGACAAGACTGTTGCATAGATATTGACGTCAAATATGTGTTTACAATAATCTTATAATATAAGTATATTTATAAACAGAAGCATATCCTCTCTCCAATACTTTCAATACTTTACAGTTTATACATACATGTATACCAAACATTAAACAGAAAAATAAAATTCAAAAGGTGGTTTTATTTGGAGCCATCACGCCGTAACATATACATGTGAGATGTTTTCCGGAACGCTGCAGATGCGGTCCCTCCCCCCATACAAACATTTCCAACCAGTTTATCCCCGGTACAAACAATTACTGTTACTGTTAAATTAAGTATGAGATTGGATTATTCAAAACACTCCTTATTCCGGAGAAACTCTTTTTATTGGGAAAGTAACAATGAGGTCTATGCAAACATATCAGGATGAAATTTCTGAAATGTATATGTTTCTCTTTCTTTTGATTGACAATACATAAAAAACTTTCACTTACTACTAAGATTTAGATGAAGAAGTATCTGTAAGTATTCTGTACAACATGTATATACACGTATATAAATTTTTGACATATGTGTATATATTTCAGGGACGATATAAACAATATACTTTAAAAACAAAAATATAAAGATATAAAATGACAACACAAAATTCATTTTATTTTCTCACAAATCTGGACTGCCTGTTGAAACAAAATTAAGTCATTTACATGACGGAAAATGAATTAGATACACATATACCACATTTCATATTTCTTATTCTTGTAGTGTTGACACATATTCGCGGAGAAGCCACCGATATAGAAACAACAGCAGACGTATCTTTGCACTGAAAATAATAACTGAAAATAAGACCGTTTTATGTTTTGTAGCGTTGAAAGCCATCCGTGGAGAAGGCGGTGACAATTCGACAGTAGGCGACACAACACAAGACAGTTCTTTACTACCAGACGGCCTTGATTTGCTCATGGATGATAAAGGTGGTGGCGGCGGTGGAGATAAAAGTAAAAGTAAGAAAAATAAAGCAAAATCCAAGAAAAAACCGCCCAAGAAATCTAGAACTAAATCTAAAAGAAAGTCAAAAAAGAAAGGATTTAAGAAGAAAGGTGGTGGCAAAAAGAAAGGCGGTGGTGGAAAAAAGAAAGGTGGTGGCGGAGGTGGAAAGAAACGTTAAATGAATGCAAGATAATCGACATTAAAGACTAAGAATTAATGTATTCACTTCAAAGAATCATAATACATATACATTGTAGTTCATTTTTTTGTCTAAACATGTGAATGGAATATGTAGTCTATTAATTAAACTGAGTACAAAACTGACCATTGCTCTTTTTGTTTATTTTGATATAGCCGCTTTTTTGCATAGATCATCAATAAAATGTCTATAAATTTATATGAATAGACAAGAAATATAAATGTAATACATTTAATTCATTAATATATCCGCTGTTGCCTGTTCTACACGATATATTATTCAAAATCTTGCAAGATAACCTTTTTCGTGTTTTGTAGAGCTAGAAATAACGTCTAATGTCGGTCATGACTTTGAGGAATCAATGATGTCAGAGATACAGCGAAGTGAGGATTTAAATGCAGATGATATCACGTTAGAAAACGCAAGCTTTAGCAGCTTAACGGATTTAGAGTCAGGGACAAACCTTTTAAATGATAGTATCAACAAAATGCCCAATTTCAATCCTGACAATTCTTTACAGCACAGTTACATACATGAAGACAATTTACATGATTTAAATGCTCTCAGAACAACACGTGATAGTATACACAGACAGAATAGGAATAACAAAGATGATAAGGGTTCTAATATGAAAATAACAACGGACATAGGTGGATTTGTATCCGAACAATACGATAAAAGGGATAGGTTGGATAAACATCACAGTTTAAATAGCTCAAAAATGTCCCATCAAACAGAAAAATCACCAAAAAAATCACTGTTTCAGTCGGCCAGAGAATCACAATCCCCCAAAAAGTCAAAAACCCCTAAAACAGCAAATTCATCTTCTTCATCACCAAAAGAACCACGATCCCCCAAGAAGTCAAAAACCTCTAAAACGGAAAAATCATCTAAAAAGTCTAGGTCACCATCACCAAAAGAACCACGATTCCCGAAGAAGTCAAAAACCTCCAAAACGGCGAAATCATCTAAAAAGTCTAGGTCACAATCGCCAAAAGAATCACGATCCCACGAGAAGTCAAAGACCTCCAAAACGGCGAAATCATCTAAAATGTCTAGGTCACCCTCACCAAAAGAACCACGATCCCCCAAGAAGTCAAAGACCTCTAAAACGGCGAAATCATCTAAAAGGTCTAGGTCACAATCGCCAGAAGAATCACGATCCCCCGAGAAGTCAAAGACCTCTAAAACGGCGAAATCATCTAAAAAGTCTAGGTCACAATCGCCAAAAGAATCACGATCTCCCAAGAAGTCAAAGACCTCTAAAACGACGAAATCATCTAAAATGTCTAGGTCACCCTCACCAAAAGAATCACGATCCCCGAAGAAGTCAAAAACCTCCAAAACGGCGAAATCATCTAAAAAGTCTAGGTCACAATCGCCAAAAGAATCACGATCCCCCAAGAAGTCAAAGACCTCTAAAACGGCGAAATCATCTAAAAAGTCTAGGTCACAATCACCAAAAGAACCACGATTCCCGAAGAAGTCAAAAACTTCCAAAACGGCGAAATCATCTAAAAAGTCTATGTCTCCATCGCCAAAAGAATCACAATCCCACAAGAATTCAAAAAAGCTCGAAACAGCGAATTCATCTAAAAGGTTTAGGTCACCATCGCCCAAAAAATCACGATCCCCCAAAAAGTCAAAAACCAAAAGGTCAAAACCTGTCAAGAAGTCACGATCGCCAGCAAAATCAAAACCACCTAAAAAAGGAAAGACACCTAAAAGGTAGAACAATAATTTGTTAAACGAAGAACTTCAGTGTTTATTAATTTATTTATTTATTTTTGGCGTGGGAGGGGAGGGGAGGGGTGGTGGTCTTGTTTAAAAAATGGAAGAAAAAAGACCTGTAAATGTGGACATAAACACTTTTATGTACAAACAATTGAAATGGTGTTGGCCGCAATATAAATAAGAGTTTAAATCATTGTTTTGTTCACAATATTTCAATTCAAAGTTAGTGAGAAAATGCTTGACATAATTTACTTGGTATTATTAAAACAAGATAAATGTAATATGTAACACATTGGGCAATTTTTGTGTGTCGACCTGTATATAATCAGAAACGTTTATCACGTATATGTTCACTATATACATCCCTGATATTACTTTTGAATTTCATGTCATCCATTTTTATTTTTGTCGAAATTTGTATATTTTAAGAGGCAACATAATGTTGACAAAACAACTGCAGCTTAAAGGCGGATAATATATAGTGTTCGTCCTTCCGTTAATTCTTTTATTCTACTCCTGATTACCCCGGTGGAGGATGACCAAAATGTGGAAATATGTCCGATTAGGGCTGCCCATCTCTACACTGACGTTTGTATACATACTGGTAAATGTAGCAAATCGTTATACATGTGGACATAAAGTTTATGTACTGTTTCTGTATATTGTTTTTTTTTCTAAGATAAAGTTTAAAAATATTCAATATAATTATGATAAAAATACGCTATGTATATAAATTGTCCGCATTATCAGGATTGATCGCTGTAAACCAAACGACAATATAACAAGTGCTACAAAACAGGCGCGTTTTAACCTCACAAATTCACGATTTCAGCTTCATGAATTCGCTATTTCAACTTTATGATCTCACTATTTAAGCATTAAGAATTTACCTTCACGATATGTAATATCTGAAAAGTGATCCCTCGGAAGCATTACGAAGTGCAAAATTACAAGACAATTAACTTTACATTTTCAGAATTTCAGCTTGATTAATTAACGAAATCATTTTCGATCAGTTCGTGATTTCGAAAAGTTGAAATCATTAATTTATGAAATTCAAAAGTCGTGAAGTTGAAACTGTGAAAACGTGTCTTAGTTAGTTGGAATTGTGATTTCATGAAATTGAAATGGTAAATTCATGAATTTGAAATAATCATGAAGTTGATATAGTGAATTCATGAAGCTGAAATTGTAAAATGTTGAAATGTTCCCACAGATGTTTCGTATATTTGGGATGGCTTACAGAAACACCACAGTTTTTAGTTGTTGTCTGAATATAAATAGCATGAGATGATTATGACAAAAATGGCATACTATCATGGATATATAAATATAGAAAAATAGAACAGTTCTTTATCTTTTATTTAACATGTGTAACAGCAACAAAAGTAAATATCTAAATAATAAAAAGACATATAAAATAGTATACTTTTTATGACAAATTCATCATTCACATTTCTTAAAAAGTAAATGCGACACCCGCAATTATCAAAATACTATTATAAAAAAATATCAAAAGATCCACGAGTATAGTCAATGCACTAGTTAACGTCTTCAGTGACAATATCCCAAATGTTTGGTTATTTACAACTCCAAACTGATTCACTGAAATTAATAAGTTAATATACTGATTTTGATTGATTAGCTTAAAGCTGTATATCACAGAGACGCTCTAAATTACGTTTGTGTGGATTCCTAAACCAGTCTATGTGTTTATGGTCACAAGGGTGGTTTCGTTCGCCGAACTGACTCTTGGTTTTGTTTATTGTCTCCGCTGTAACTGAGCCAATCATAAAATCTGTCCATCAAAACAGATGGAGATGCACACGGACATGAACAGAACTTCCGGTCTGCGGATGGATTTGAAGATATTTGTTCCATGGTGTCGCTCTTTTTGCAAAACTTTACCAAACTCGAAGCGAATTTTGTTATCGAGCCAGTTTCGTTTTCCGGTCCACACAGAGATAAAAATGTCGTAAAACCAAAAAGGGAAAACAAGAGAGAAATTCCGACTGTACTTAATATAAATATCCCAAATTGGAAGAAAAATTGTATTTGAGCAAATAACATAAAAACAGCAGCACCCATCGTTGTAATGGCCCCTGATATTACAGAAAGTCCAATTGATTCAAGCATATCGTGAACTCTATCTAATCGTCTGGATGACTTTGACATCCGGTAAGCTTCTGCGAGATGAACAATATAGTCAACAGATAGTCCGACAACCATGCAAAGATTAATTGACTCCAAAACCTGCAATCAAAGGATAGTTTTTTTTTATATCAAACAAAAAAAAACGACATTTTAATTCAAAATAAGAACAAACAAATGTCGTGGTTAACGCTCGAGCAGAATTTTTCCTAGAAAATATTCATTTTTACAAGTCTCTACATTTGTCATAAAAAGGGTAAATTACTAAATTAAAAAAGAAAATATGTTTCTTTATCATAAAGGAACTTAATTTAATAGATCCTGACTACAATATCAAATCACAATGAGGAATAAAGCATTAAAACAGTAATTCACTATTTGACTTATTTACCCCAAGTTTCCAGCCGGCTAGTGGTACTACACCTATGACACAAGCTGTGACAAGACCTATAGTAATGGCGGCTATAGTTCCGATTATAAAGTTAGACGTTGTTAGAACTAGAATAGGCCATGCAGACAACAATCCGACGATGATACCTGTTATTGCTGATGTCGCAAGTGTCTGAAAAATAATATATAAATAGACGATATTGAAAGAGTGTAAGTTCAATACTGAATTTATTGAAGGAGCAGAATAAATTAATATTTTGCAAACTTTACGCTTATGTTTTATTACGCAAATGACATTACCTCAAAATACAAGCACGGCCGTGAATACGTTTTTTTACGGGGCCGCAAGTTACATTGTATTATTTGTGTACCCCTGTTTTCTTTTCTACGTTGATTCATTTATAAATAAATGATCCGATATTCTAACAATAAAAGAGGACAAAGTTGTTGTTTTTTGTTATTGTAGTTCAGTAGAATCTACATCAATCACAAACAGAAAAGGACAAAATTTTATATCATCGTTGCGTCAATTAAAATACGCACGTGTAATACGATGTTGTATTATCATATAATACGTACCTCTTGTACATGTAGCCAGTGCCAAAGAGTCTCCGTTACTTGGATGCCATTTTGTAGAGATGCTGGCATTCTTTCATTCTTAAAATTAAAAATAAATACATGTTTAACAAAGTCTTTTTTTAGAATTAAATGCAAGGTTACGTACTTAATTTAAGCGTATCTTTAATATTTCAATTACACGTATAATAGTGACACAGTGACCACCATGCCCATCAGCGATGTAATATGACATGATAGTGAATAGAAAAAAGTTTAAAATAAAGTTTAATAATTGGTGTATATGATACAACGCTTTGTACAAAATATTTGGGAAGACAAATGAAATTCTCCAATTTCTATCAAAGTGCACAAGTCTTTATCATTTTCCAAGACTTAACAATATTATGCTGAACTATTTTGAATAAATAAAAAATACTTACTATATTTTGAATGAAATTTTCCCACTCATGAAATATAGGAAGTCCTTCCTTGTAGCCAATACTGTAAACGTTCATGGTCGTGTTGATTTCTATAGCCAGATACTGTAACTTTGTACCATAGTACAGGCCTATAATAATTACATATATCATTTGATTAATATTGGCTTGAAAGCGGACAGACGTTTATAGCGGAATATACTTTTACGTCATTCTATGGTTAAAACATAAACTTAATAATATTAGGTTTGGTGAATAAAAAGAAATGAGCCGTGTCACGACAAAACCAACATAGTGGGTTTGCGACCAGCATGGATCCAGACCAGCCTGCGCATCCGCGCAGTCTGATCAGGATCCATGCTGTTCGCTATCAGCTTCTCTACTTGTTATAGGGTGTGTAAGCGAACAGCATGGATCCTGATCAGACTGCACGGTTGCGCAGGCTGGTCTGGATCCATGCTGGTCGCAAACGCATTACGTTGGTATTGTCGTGACGCGGCTCAAATGTAATTTTGTTTAATGTTTTAGAGGTGCCGGATCTTCCACAGTTCTGTAGGGAATGGGAAATAAATGATGGTAGGCCATACCCAATGCTAACATAACGGATGTGTACATAAAGGCACATGTCGATGGCATGCATGCATATACGTTTTCTGTGTTAATCACTTTTTCCCAGGTACAGGTTTAAAATCAATGGCTACTGGAAAGGTCAGGTATGTCATTAAATTTTCCCATTATTTTAAAAAGATATTTAAGAAATAAAAAGCGATACCTATCAAAGTTTGTGTGGTACATGTATATATTAAAGAAACATACCAGAGTTGGAATAGTATGCATTTTGTGTGACGTCTTGAACCTTCTTTTCGGCAAACAGGTGATTATAGCGAAAATAGTCTTTTGTCGGATTCAACTGGTAACCATCCGTCAGCCAGTACGATATGAGAAGCTGGAAACCAATTTTCATAAACTAATCATGTACTTAATGCCATACATTCATGATCTAGAATTTTTGCCAATTTCAACATAATACAGCTCATCGTAATAACGTACACATATAAATAAAGACATAACCAGTAAATTATTATAATTATCTTTTCAATATAAGGCACGTTTTCACTTCAAATGTAAGGCTAATATGAAGTTCACCACGACCACAAGGCCATTATGCAAAAAGTACGACCTTTATGAGAAAACTCGGTTATTATGAGATTGGAGAATTTTGATTGGCTCTCCAGCTCGACTATTATGAATCTGCCTTTTTTTTTTCATTGAAAAAAGTCGCCATTTTTAATTTCTGCGAGGTAGGTTTCCGAAACATTTTTAAAACAAGAATCTCATTTGCAATACCTCACAACAACGGAATTTCACATAAGTTATTTTTTGCAGAGACATAGATAACATGTTTTCTATGTCTCTGTTTTTGTTCACTAAGTACTTAACTTTTTTAGATAAGGTGTAGTTAATTAATAAAATTGTCATAATAATGGTCTTTTTATTGGACTGAAGACTGTCATATTAGACAAAGGCCATAGGCTAAAGGCTAATATGACAGTCGAAAGCCCAATAACAAGGTCATTATGAAAACATTATACATAGTATTATGTATTATAACCAAGAAGTTGTTGATATTATTAATTCAATCACGTAGGACTGTTAAACATAAGGGCAGTACTAATGTAGTTGTTGTAAGTCTTACCTCAAAATAATTTGTAAAGTTGTCTGGTAGAGGAGAACGATATATATATCGATAAGCATCCATTAGTTTGGTCACGTGGTCTGGTGATACTGGAAGTGACAAATTCATATCCGCCGGAAGTCGCCAGTTTGAATCTACCTCATTCTGGTGAATTGAATAAAAACATACCATATATTTCATTTTGAATTTAGTGTATAGACTATATATTATATAGAGGACAGTCGTAAGTGTAGATTTAATACGTATGTATTGAACAAGCTGAACAAAATTTAACGTGCATTATGCGAACCTCAGGCGTTAACCAACGAAGTCAGAAAAAGGCTTCAACGTTTATCACGAGACATCAAACTCCTCATGGGACGCTCATATGTACCGGAAGTGGTTAATTTTAAAATGTTTTATCTACCATTGAGGTAGTAAATCTAAAAAGGCAATCACACACAAAAGAAATCGAACGAAAATTCATTTAAGCATATGATAGGACCATCTTTTATTGGAAATTTTATATGTTGACATAAAAGGTTAAGAAAATAAAGGCGAGTTAATAACATATACATGTACTTGGATATATAGATTATGTTATTATTGAAATCTATATTCCTGCGGGCACCAACCAAGATGTTCGATTTTTCCATTACATTTTTATGTATTGAAACAATACCCACGGTGACTAAATATTTAATTTTCACTTGAATATGAATATACTTTCGATTGAACATTCTAAATGTAAATAAACTTAGCAGGAGTCATACCAAATTTCCCTTTAACGACAACTCAAGTGTTTTCAAAGCAAACTTGTTCTATACTCGGAGATGTAAAATTACCACCAAAACAAACACGTTAAAGCAATAGAAATTTATAATAACCCCATGATTAAATATTTGTATTTCAACATCAGACACTAGTTGAAAATAAAGTGTATATGATTTTCTTAATAAAGATGAATGAAAGAGGATCCATAAATATATAAAACTAGAAATGTGTGAAAAGGACACTGGTGTCCCTAATAAATTTGCCTTTCACAATGACATATTTACAGACTTATGCATGTTTCATAAAGATCAAGTGTTATATAAGTAAGTAATTTATATACATATACATGTAAATAAATAGTATTACAACTAATAAGTTTTAAAAACCTATGACTAAGAAAACTTTAGTCATTATTGATAAGATCAAGTGTCACGCGCTGTGACCTGTAAATGAATTGAGGCCATCTTTTGGTCATGGGCAATATTCCCCCTTAATTTTAGCAAACTTAGGCGTATTCCTTCTCAAGTTACTGATCGAACAAGGATTGTACACAAACTGTTACTGTGACCTTGAACTTTGACCTTATGATCTCAAAATAGGTAGTGGTCATTTACTTTCCATGGGCAATTTTTCCTACCAATTTACATAATTCATTGCTTATTGCTTCTCAAGTTATTGATCAGACAATGATTTTACACAAAGGAAGTCTATCACTGTGACCTTGACATTTGACACAATGACCTGAAATTAAATATGAGTCACCTTCTGCTTATGGTTAATATCGCTTCTAACGTACATAGAGCCAGCTTATATCATGTTAAATAGATAAAAGGACGTACTTATATACCGACAAACCACCCAATTATAGTACACGCTTTCCTCTTTTATTTGGGACAGTAAAAACCTTACTTACCTCGAAATAGTTTTCAAAGTCTTCGGTAAAGCAGGAAATTCTGAGTTCGTCATTTATGTTGCTTCTCTGAATATGCAGACGATCAGCAAGTCCTGTATCTATGTTCTTTAAACGACTGCACAAATCCTGTAAAACAGTTTTCAATATTCATATTGTATTCATTAAAATTCCCCGTTCATAGAGACTCGTCTGGATTGCAATGGCACCGAACACTTAACAAAACAATCGATTTGATAAATATAAAACAACAACAACAACAAAACAACAACAATCCCACCCTCTGAAGAAAAAAAAACTCAACAAACAAAACATTATCAAACATTTGATCAGTAATATCTATAATGTATGTATTTTACTCTTTGGTGTTTTGAGATCTAAAATTATTAGTACAGTTTGTCTCACTGAATGAAATTAGATGTGTTACATAAGAAATTATAGCCATTGTCTTATTACCCTAACACTTGTCCAAATTTACACGTAGACTTATCGTCCATCCCAAAAGATATCAGTTATAAAAATCAATCAATTTGAAACAACTGGCAAAAAATATATTGTAATTGTCAGAAGGGCCAACTTTCTAAGGGCCATGTCGACCCTTGTGCTTTTTATAAACAACTACAGCATCATGTAAATATTGTAAATTTATTTGTTATATTTTGTCTTATGTTCGCATGTGACATTGTATCTGTTTTTTGTATATAGAAAGAAAAATAAGCAATAAAATAGACAAAAAATTGCTTAAGTCTTCATCCTGCCATTATAACCTTATTTTTCATGATCAGATAATCCTTTCTAATTTTTCAAAGCAATAAATCTTACCTTAAATGCTATTTGAGCTGAATCTGTGTTCAAATCTAAATGTTTGTCATACTGGGGCTTTCCAAAACAGAATTCAGCAGACTTCTGATCACACGAGCTTATATCCGCCGGAAGTATACCCCATATCAAATAGAGGCGCTGATACTCGTCATCTTGGTTTCTGAGGAAAGAAAAATAGTGCCTGTCCGTTGCTTTGGCATAATTGTGTGTACTTCGAAATAGGCGCAGCTGAAAACAGATATATACAATGTTGAAATAAAGATAAGAAATGAAGTAACGAATTTTTTTTTCGATGAAATTGTTTTCTTCAAGTTTAATGTCTCGAAGTTTTCCAATGCTAAGAATACCAAGTAAATAACTTTATATGATAAAATTAAAGTGTGTACTTTGTGAAGGATTATTTCATTTAAAATATATAACTATATGTAATAAACTACATGTATTCTACTATTGCTTAACATAAAATGTGTCAGAAGATTGTTTACAATTTAATGTATATATCTCATGTAATAAAGTTACCTGGTGCGTGTCGGGTTCAATCATGGTTGCTCTGTGAATGAAGAATATTGAAACGCCAAGAAATAATATGGGAAAAACGATTTTTACAACTCTTTTGGTCATAAAATCAAAGAATGTGTTCCTCAGAAATTTAATTATTTTGTTGCGTTCTTCGAATGTTTTCTTTGGCTTCGATCTTTTTCGTCTAAAGTACTCCTCTCTTGCCGTTTCTGATTGGATTTTTTCCCAACTCAAAACAGATCCCGGTCCAACTTGTGATTCGGAATCGAATTCTTTTCGATCTCCTTCATCTATGGTGACAGACACTTCCGGTTGAATCTCACGTGATACATTTATCTTTTCCATTCGTGGCGTACTGGAATGATCGGGGGAACTTAGACTTGAGATATTTGGAAGAAATTTGCTGTTTGATATTACATATTTTCTCGGACTGCTGTCTAATGCGATACTTTCTGCACTAGAACCAGGTATTAAGGCACGTGCACTATTTGTTTCTGATAGAGAATTTGTGTCAGTATTTGGTGAATGTTTATCAGCTTCATCAAAGTGCGGCAGTCTTTCTGCTAAACAAATTGAAAGCAAAAAGCGATGAAAGCGCCTCCACAGATTTTTTGTTTTGGTATGATGAATTATTATTATTGATGGGAAATAAAGTATTACCCATGCATAGTTGACTACCACTAGACATCCAGTAAATATTCCAAACGTTTTCACTGGTAACAAGGGGGATAATCCACTGACAAGGAAAGCCATAGCAGTAGTCAGTGACGTAACAAAAGTTGTTTTCGCTGCTTTCCGGAAACAATCAGAGAGTCTATGTGCGTCACTCGGGTATTTCGTATGTCCCGTGAGCCGCCACGTGTCGTAGAAAACAAACAAATCATCAGCACCAATACCAAGAATAAGAAATATCGCAATAACATGAAAAAATCCAAAATATATAAACTGAAAGACATAGCGGTACACGAGATTTGTTAAGAGAAAACTTGAAAGAATGCTTAACACTCCAAGACTAGTTACAACTATGCTCCCTGTTTGGAAACACATGAACAAGAAAATGAACAGAACACTTCCGATCGCAAGCTTAATATCAGTTAAGGCTTGCATGACTAGATCATGTTGGTAAAGCAATTTACTTAGATAATACACATCCAAACGTTCCACTAAGTAAAAATCACGTATATTCTCGACTTTAGGTTTGAATGTATCAGCAAGGTAATTTTGGATGTCTTTCTCCGTGCCACGTCTACTCCAAGTGAAAAGTGGCCAGCCAATAAACAAGAAGGAACGGGTGATAGAGGTGTAACTGTAGTTTCCATTTATCACACTGTCTTTACCCAGAAATAATTTCAAATAATCTTTGGTTTCATTATAAATAGAAGCTTTGTATAAAACCTCATTGATGTTGCTAAAATTTCTGTCATAGAAAACTGTATCAATATTAGAATATGTCCCGTCAAATAACCTTATCAGCGACTGTGGTTTTATACAATTATGATTATGATCAAGTAAGCAAAAATCTTCCTGAAATTTTACTTCGTTGAAAAGTCTATCTTCTGCTGTTTTTATCCAACTTAAGTGCGCTTGCGTCAGAATGTTTACTTTTGGTTTCTCATATATTATTTCAACCGTATCCTTAATTGAACCCCTGTACCCAGTGTTTATATTATAACCATACACTGGTCTGTAAATGTAGCTATCAAAATTTGTCCTCGATCGCCATGACAGTTCCTTCAGACGGACATCATTGTATATATAGAGCGGCAAATCGTCGAAAACGGCGGGAAATACGTCATATCCGGTGAAAACGAGTCCTAGTGTAATGCCGATGATAGCTGAATGTATTAATGTTACTGCGACTGAAAGAGATTTAGTAAATACAATGTACACGGGCTCATCATAATTGTGTGCTTTTCATATTAAAAAGAATAAACGGAACAAGTTACGCTACATTTAATTTTGGTTTGTGACAGAATCCTTTAAAAAAATGGATTCCATTCTGCATAATCGTAATCTAGCTAGTCATAATATTATGTATGCATGTATATAATTATCCGGGTTTCCTTTTTACTGTTTTCTAATTATCGTTGTAACTATGTATTTCAAAACCCATCTAAAATCAATATATTCGATTTGTACATTAATATATTTGCACTTAAATCACGTTTCTCTGATTACTTATATATGTTCATGGTATTTTGAAGATTAATTCAAATATATAGCTGAATGATCCGATTAAAGGATTATTTTTTTATGTTGAAATAACCTCACATTATTTTGGAAATCTCATGCTGAAGAACACATTTAAGAATCTTTGATTAAATAGACGATATTTGATTTGAAATATAGTTTTCTGTTTACTTTGTATAATGTTCGCTCTTTCATCTCAAAAGAAAAATATGCATATATAATTTTACATTCTTATTCAGTTTTAAAATTGGTTGTTTATGCGTCATTTAATGGTTTGAAAAACCTTACACTACGAGCACTTAGGTAAAGCTTATTTCATTAGAATTTGTGAACTATTTGAACGTTTAACTTTGTAGTGTCCTTTAACTCAAATCATTGGCAGCAAGATGTATCATTATGGCTAACAGAAATTCAATATATATCAATTTGCTCAGGTTGCATTTTGTTAGCAATATCCTCTTATAATTCATGCAGTATCTATCGAGGACTCACGTTTTTTTTAACATACTCTCAAACTCTAAATGAGAAAAATCTTTAATAATGACAATACGCTTTAATAAATGGAGAAATTGAATTTTAAATTGAACTTACAAAATGTTTGCAGAGGAAAATTGGTGACTAGTTTACAGAGTTTTAATGGTTCTGGAAACTCTTTCTGGTTGTCATTTCCGGTTAATGGATCAGCTTCCGGTCTATGTATTGACCTCGCTGTTCGTGCTGTAGGATCAAGTTCTAATCTAGATGAAACCAAAGGTATTTCCGATGACCAAACGGAAATTTTAGAAGATGTTTTCTTGAGGTTTACCAAACGTTTCTTTTTCAATGTTTTTGTGTTCTTTTTCTTCTCGTATATACCCCTACTTTCAGCATCTGGAAAAGGATTGTTACCTTTTTGAACGCGAGCGTTATGTTTTCGTGACAATTGTTGTTCTTGTTGCTGTGGAGAAAAGTTTTTGGCTGAAAATAAATCATATTGTGCTAACAAATGCCTTTCACACTTATCACCAAAGTTACTGGGAGAATCTTCGTTCACTTTGTCGTAATGTAACTCCCGTCCCAACCAAAGCTCTCTGGAAGGAAAGTGTCCCTTGTCCTCACTTTTCTTTTTTGATTTGTTTCTTTTTCCGCTGCCATTTGTATCTTTGTTATTTTCTGACTCTTTCCGTTTTCTTTGTTTACGCTCTCTACGTTTCTTATTTTCTTTATCGCATATTACATCTGTTTCATTATCACAAGTTCCATCAAGCTTAACTTCTTCGTTCTTTTCTACACGCCTCCGCTTTTTCTTTCTCCTTTTCAAACGTTTTCCATTCTTCTCATCGACAGGCAGGTTTTTATTCGCGTTAATTTCTGTACAATCCTCATTATTGGTGTGTTTTTTATCACCATTACCACACGATGCTACTCTATCCATATAGAAAATATCACCATAGGTTTCATAATTACCATTAATTTCTTCATTATCCTTAGTGAAATTATTTTCATAAAGTCCTTTCCCATCTTCCATTAAATTAGCACCAAAATGTCGTGTAGCGAAATATAACCACCTCTCTTTGTCGCCTAAATATGAATGTCTGTTCTTATTGTTCCCAATAATAACTTCTCCAGTTTATTTATTTTAACTTGCCGATAGCTCCAATAATATTATACTTTTAAGAGCTTATTTAAGAAAATGTTATATGTTATAGATTATTTCTTTTTTTTTTCTTCCGTTGATTTTGAATGTACGAACGTCTTATTTACACTTAATTAATTGAAAAAATATCCAATTCTTGCTATAATCTTACTACAATCATTCTAAATATTTACGCTTGAATGATTAAACGTCTTAAACTACCTTAACACTCTCACAATAAATCTCGATTCCGCTTAAATCTGTTTTAACATGCATGGATATTTTATATTTGACATTGTATTTTGTATTCTTTGCCTTTTAATAAACAAAGTGTATAAGTAATGCTTTGAAACCATTGTACACTTGTGAAAAACATTATTTCATATATACGTTTTGACACGTCCAACTGTCCAAACTTGAATCCGCGTTGGAATTTACGCTCGGACGATTTCACATCGTAATTCTTATCCGTAAGGCACCTTTAATTCAAATATACATATAAATAAATATACAATAAAGAAATAGAATCTAATCAATTGAAAAGACGCGTTCGATATTTCACAATAATTTTAACCCTCGCCGTCGGAAAGAAAGCAAACTTTGATTTCGTGTACATTTATATCCGTTTTACTTTACGAAATCAATATCCTGTATTTATATATAAGTACATATTCTATTAAAATTAATGTGGTTACTATGTATATATGAAGTTCCATTTACTTTTTATCGACCTCTATGGCCGTTCATACCTGTATTCAATAATTCATGTGTTGACCATATCACCTTTCTCATATTTCTCCTATACATGTATCTGCCTTATTATACATGTAGCGGTCAATCCCCGAGGATATTCTAACACCGGCTTATTCATTAATTACTAATCACAGCAGAAATATTTTCCATTCATCAATTCATTGATATTTGAACTATAGAAAACAGTTAGCCTGGGATTCAGGCGTTGATAGTTTTTGCTTATTTATAACATTTTTTTTTCTTTATTCATAACATATGCGCTATTCCGTATTCGTTCGTCGTTTTGATAGTAATGTCGATTTGCCAAAAAGAAACATAAAAAAATCGACAGACTGGAACCCAGGCTAGATAACAGTGTATATAGTGTAAAAATGTAGACATTTATTAATTCTTTAATTTGAAACTTAGCTTTGTAATGACTTTTGCGCATGTAGATGTCTTTGTATTTATATTTATTAATTTAACTTGTTTTGATAATTGAAAATGAACACATAGCGGCACAAATAGATCTATTTAAATAATACAAATAACAGGCATGCAATGATAACTGATAAGACGACCAATCACTGGATAACCTGTATGCACGTGCACCTTAATGGCGCGAATCACTCGTACATAACACAAATTTACATTCGGAACTGCCTCGGCTATTATCTATAATAACATCGGAAACAATACGGATTGAAAGTAGTTCTACCACGTGGTTTCAGATGTAAACAGAAACAGAGATAATGTAAAAGGAATGTATATATTTGACATAGAATGTCTGTTCCGGTACTCCCATGCTTGAAAATATGTCTGACAATAATTTGTAATTTAAATATGCCCACTAATATTTGTATTAACTGGTCAATCGATTTTTCCTCTTTAGATGGTTGAAAATACAATACATGAAGTCAAAGCATACTGATAGAAAATTGTCATAATGATATCGTTAGTGATATGTCTCAACTTTATATACTAACCCACACACAGTACAGGTCTATAGCCAGCTATCGCAAGAAAGGTTCGAGTTAAATTATATAGGTTCCCAAGTAAGGTACAGTGATCGGAAGTAACTCGAACATGAAACCGCAAGATACACATTGGTTTAAACATATCTATTCAACAAAACATTTAACAAGTGAACAATATTTACAAAGTACATTTTGGGATTGGGCAGAAATCTATAAAGCTTATGAATGTTCTCTCCCAAGATACACATTGAATTATATAGGCTCGTAGTAGAGTTAGTGGTGATAGTGTTGGTAGTTTTCACTCCGGATCACGGCAGTAAGCCAATAGCACAGGGTTACAACAGTGATTTCGTTTTATATACTATTTACATGCCACATCACTTCATACCTCAAAACATTCATATCATAATTGTGATGACTGACACTTAGTACACACCCAAGAGGTGGAGCTATTTAGATGTTATGTATATCATGAATTTAAATTGTTTCACTCAGATTTTTGTTTTAAATAAATCTGCTTAATTCCGCAGAATTTTTTGGCTTGCATTGTTTTTATTGAACTGTTTAACATGAACTATTGTTTTACACTTTTATTGTTTTTAAAACACTTTTATTGTTTTTTTTACACTTAAATTGTTTTTAATTCCATTTGTTTGAAGGAAGTAAAATTGGTTTATTCCAATTGTTTCAAGATCAGAATATTTGTTTTAATCCTCATTTCTTTTTACTTTTTTTTGTCTTTAAACTTTATCCCATCCTCGTCGCCAAAGTTACATTCTGTTTATTTGAGGATTATTAAAATCAACACCTTAGCTTATAATACAGCTTTATTTTTTTACATTCATACATACACTGTAACTCTCTCTAAAATAAATGATATACATATTACATATTAAAACAACTATCTAAATAGCTCCACCTCTCTTTATTGTTTTACATTCATACATACACTGTAACTCTCTCTAAAATACAAAAGAATCATTGACGCGCTTATAGTGTTACGCTAACATTTAGCGCGTCTTTACACTACGAGTGTCAATCTCCACACAGTGATCTCCCCTTAATTCTTCGGCGTAGATCTCTGCCACCAAGGTCCCAATATATCAGAATTTCTGATATACTATATTTTTTCAAAAATTGTTTTATCTACTGCTTTTATCTATCAGATAAGTTTTCTCTCATTTATTTAACAATGTTTATGAATAAATAAATAAATAATATGAATATTTAGAAATAATTTTAAAAATTATGAGATTATTTTCTACCGAGACGATATTTTGATATTTTATATTTTTTAGCTTTTGAATTTATTTTTCGTTATTTTGTATACTTTCGATAATTTTTTAATAAACTATATGGAACATAGGCACTAAAAGTAAAAAATAAAACAGAAAGAGAAAAATAACGTTAGATTTTCTTTATAACGGTCGATATTTACATTTGAATTTCGACGTTACGTCATGTGACTTTCATCATCATGTGACGTCTTTGAAGGCAAGGGAGGTAATCACTGTGAGGCTGTGAGGGGTATGTACGAGTGTATGTTGTATAACGTAAATGACGTCACGTCAAATAATTATAAGTATGTGATAAATGTTACACAAAGGCTAAATGCATATCACTTTCGGTGTGTTTCATAATAAGCAGGCACAAGATAAAGATCTGAAACATCTTACAAAATAAATGAAATCTCTATAAGTTAACGATCGTGTGAAGCGAGTTAGAATGTAAAGTAAATGTATGTAAAACAGTGTTATTCCCAATTCGAGTACTAAAATCATTTCAATTGAAATCGCCATATACTGATTGACATAAATCAATGAAGTTGATTATACAACATTGCCACATTGGCAGTATACAATAACAAGGCGATCATTAATCATTTGTGTCGCCAATTGTATCTTGCAGCTACTGTGTAACGGGAAAACAAAAAGCATTAACAGGACAAAACGCGTTTTTTTATTCAAGGGCCATAACTCGGCTAGACATCCTTCAACAAGAAAACCCATGTAATATGCGTAAGTACTTGAGCTACCGATCAATTCTGTAAAATTTCATTGAAATTGCATTTAAGATATAAGAAGAGTAGTCCGGACAAATTTTAAAAGTTAAAATCATTGAAGGACCTTAACTGTAGCGAAATCATTGAATCGAAAAAAAAAAAAATGATGAGATGCACATTTAGACATGGTATTGATCATTCCTGTAAAGGTTTGTTGACATTGCACCGTAGTTTCTGAGAAGTCGTCCAAACAAGCTTCTGTGTAGCTGGCAACATACAAAAAAAAAAAAACACACACACAAAAACAACACATTTTTCATTGAAGGGCCATGACTCGGCCAAAATTCATCATTCAAGCGGAAAACCTTTGTATTATGCGCAAGTACTTGAGCTACCAATTAATCCTGTAAAGTTTTATTGAAATTGCATTAGTGGTATAAGAGAAGTAGTCCGGACAAACTTTATTGACAGCTTTTTATTCAAGGGCAATAACTCGGGCAAAATCATTCAAACGGAAAACCTGTGTATTATGCGCAAGTACTTGAGCTACAAATCAATCCTGTGAAGTTTCATTGAAATCGCATTAGTAGTCCGAACAAACTTTAACAATAACAAAAACTGTCGGAGGACAGTAACGCTCGACGATTCGAAAAGTTGTTAAAAGGGTTTTTCATTGAGTATAATAATGCTTACCTATATGAATACATAAAATTGTCCGAAAATGTACAAAGGCTTGTTATGAAGATATTTTATCGAGTAAAACACTGCTTTATTATTATGAATGCATAAAATTGTGCCAAAAAGGCACAAACCCTTCAGTAATTATGGAGATACCAGCTTACAAGTAAAACCTTTACCAAGAATTTCTAAGCCGAAAAGGGGGCATAATTATGAAAAAATTAACAAAAAAACAACAACAAATCAAGAGTTATAGGTCTTGTGTCAGTCATGTAAGATAATCACAGAGAACAAGTGTGTGAAGTTTCAATCCATCCCCTTCAGTAGTTATGGAGATACCAGCTTACAAGCAAAAATTTAACCAAGAATTTCTAAGTTCAAAAAGGGGCATACTTATGCTAAAAAGCAAACCAGAGTTGTGCGACTTGTGCCAATCATTCTAAATAATCACAGAGAACAAGTGTGTGAAGTTTCAATCCATTCCCTTCAGTAGTTATGGAGATACCAGCTTACACGCAAAAACTTAACCAAGAATTTCTAAGTCGTAAAAGGGGCATAAATATGCAAAAAAGCAAATCAGAGTTATGGGACTTGTGTCAGTCATGTAAGATAATCACAGAAAACAAGTGTGTGAAGTTTCAATCCATTCTTTTTTGTAGTTATGGACATACCAGCTTACAAGCAAAAACTTAACCAAGAATTTCTAAGTCGAAAAGGGGGCATAAGTATTCAAAAAGCAATTCAGAGTTATAGGACTTGTGTCAATCATGTAAGATAATCACAAAGAACAAGTGTGTGAAGTTTCAATCATTTCCCTTCAGTAGTTATGGACATACAAGCTTACACGTAAAAACTTAACCACAGGGACGCCGACGCCGACAAATGGGTGACTGCATTAGCTCGATTATTCTGCGAAAAGTCGAGGTAAAAATAAACTAGAAATGTGTCGTCACGCCACGGATGCCCCCGCATGCAGCCAACATTTCAGATGTTATAATATATTAAGTTCCAAATTTGTTTGCACAAACTATTTTATTCATTTTAAGTTCAAAGCCCTTAAAACTATTCTATGTAAACACAAACCATTTTTATACAAAGTTCAAGGCACTGAAAATTGCATATTGCAAATTTGTAGCCAAAATAATGACGGCATACATTTCCGCAAAAGTATGAGTGCTGACAATGAAAATTCAAAATTTGTTTCCAACACTCAAGAGAAATAACTTTGTCCAAAATCATTGCACCATGACCAAATTCAAACATGAACTGCTTATTCCTTAGATGTATCTATATGTCAAATTTGGGTTGAATGTGTAATACCGATGGGGAGATAATGAACTGAAACTGAAAATTCATATCATTTTCAAAGTGAAAGGGGCATAACTCTGCCAAAAATCATCGAACCATAACTAAATTCAAACTTGATTTGCGCGTTCCTTTGACGAATCCATATGTCAAATTTGAGTTGAATGTGTAATACCTTTGGGGAGATAATGAACGGAAACTGAATATTTCATCAAGGGGCATAACTCTGTCAAAAATCATCGGACCATAACCAAATTCGAACTTGACCTATACTTTCTCATGATATATCCATATGTCAAATTTGAGTTGAATGTGTGCAACTGTTACTAAGATAATGATCGGAAACTGATGATGACGGAATGACGGAAGGACGGACGGAACAGGGTAACACTATATGCCCCAGCCATTTTATGCCGGGGCATAAGAAGGACCGTAACTTGTTTAGACTGGGTACTGATCATTCTTGTAAAGTTTGGAAGTTTTGAAGAAATTGCACCAGTTGTTTCTGATAAGTAGTCCGGAATAAATTCTGTGTAGCTGACAACACACAAAACACCTTTTTTTATTCAAGGGCCATAACTCAGCCACAAATTATTAAACCGGAAAACCGTGTAATATGAGCAAGTACTTGAGCTACGGGTTAACCCTATAAAGTTTCCTTTACATCCTATAAGTGGTATAAGGGAAGTAGTCTAGACAAATTTTAAAAATAAAAATCATTAAATGGGCATAACTCTGACGAACACCATTGAACTGGAAAATACCGCCGATAGACTTGATACTTATCATTACTGTAAAGTTTGGAAGAAATCGCATCAGTAGTCCGGACAAGTTTTGTGACGAACTGACAGAGGACGGCGAAGTGATCTCTATATGTCGCCACTGCAAATCTAAACATGAATATTCGACTATGAGTTACTGAGATGTGTGAATCTATGAGTGTGAAGCTGTGAGAGCTGGCGTTAACGCATTTTCATGTTGAAAGAAATAACATGCACAATATCAAACTCAGTTGTTAGTCCATAAGTTTAACATTTATTTCCTCATTTGTGTTAAAAGTGCTCACTACTTTTAAAAAATACCGTGTATTCATGAGACTAATAAAATCTTTTGAAAATTTAAACTGTTTGAAATATTCAGTGCCGTCTTCCGTGTCTTCCCGAAGACATCCCTTTCGACGACATTCTGGAACGTCCTCCAAATCTTGACCTTCCTTTTGAAAATGATCCTCCAAATTTTGACCTCCCTTTTGAAAATGATCCTCCAAATCTTGACTTTCCTTTTGACCATGACCGACCTCTTGATTTTCCTCGTGATTTCCACCCTGATCTTGACCTCCCCATTGACCTTGACCGACCTCTTGATTTTCCTCTGGATTTCGACCATGATCTTGAGCTTCCCCTTGACCTTGACCGAATTTTTGATTTTCCTCTTGAGTTCGACCGTTTCGAGCTTCCCCTGGATCTTGAGCCAATTCTTGATTTTCTTCTGGATTTCGACCCTGACTTTGAGCTTCCTCTTGACCATGACACACTTTTTGATTTTCCTCTTGATTTCGACCCTGACTTTGAGCTTCCTCTTGACCTTGGCATATTTTTTGATTTTCCTTTTGATTTCGACCCTGACTTTGAGCTTCCTCTTGACCTTGGCATATTTTTTGATTTTCCTTTTGATTTCGACCCTGACTTTGAGCTTCCTCTTGACCTTGGCATATTTTTTAATTTTCCTTTTGATTTCGACCCTGACTTTGAGCTCCCTCTTGATTTTGACCCATTTTTGGATTCTCCTCTTGATTTTGATCCTGGTCTTGATTTTCCTTTCGATTTTGATCCTGATTTATCTCTTGTATGTTTATCATTTTTGTTAGAACTTGATTTTTCTCTTCCACGTTTATCATTTTTCTTAGAACTTGATTTATCTCTTGCATGTTTATCATTTTTCTTAGAACTTGATTTTTCTCTTCCACGTTTATCATTTTTCTTAGAACCTGATTTATCTCTTCCATGTTTATCATTTTTCTTTGAGTCTGATTTATCTCTTCCATGTTTATCCTTTTTCTTTGAGTCTGATTTATCTCTTCCATGTTTATCCTTTTTCTTTGAGTCTGATTTGTCTCTTTCATGTTTATCATTTTTCTTTGAGTCTGATTTGTCTCTTTCATGTTTATCCTTTTTCTTTGACTCTGATTTGTCTCTTTCATGTTTATCCTTTTTCTTTGACTCTGATTTGTCTTTTTCATTTTTATCCTTTTTCTTTGATTCTGATTTGTCTCTTCCATGTTCATCCTTTTTCTTTGACTCTGATTTATCTCTTCCATGTTCGTCTTTTTTCTTTGACTCTGGATTGTCTTTTCCCTGTTCGTTCTTATTCTTTGATTCTGACAATTCATTTCTATTAGCATCATTTTTCATAGATTCTTGATGAGCACTACCACCACTACCACCACTATCACCACTATCACCACCTTCAGTACCCCTATCCATTGTCTTTAAGATCAAGTCAAGTCCTTGAGACAGTAAAGAGTCGCCAGCGTCATCATCCTTTTCTTGTTCAAACATTCGATTGGTCGGTAATTCTGAAACATTCAATAGAAGTATTTAAAAACAAGACATGTCCGCGGACAGCGCGCACCACTTTTCTTAGTGCTGGATAGTAAAAATGCATTTCAAATTTTATAGTGAACAAGTATTCCAAGTTTACAGAGAATAAGAGATACTTTTTAAGAAATGTACCTTAACAAAAAAGTCAATCAAGAAATTCAAAGTCATAGGGGACATAGTTTAGAAAAATAAATTAAAAAGTTACATGCCCTTTGAAATTAAAAACTGAAAAAGTAACCAAAGTTTGAAATGATTAACTTTGACATTTTTTTTATAAATTCACCTTCGAAGAAAAAAGGGGGTACAAATAAATTTATGGATTTTGTGATTGTCTGCCCTTCCGAAATGGTGATATATTTTGATTCAAGTTTGATATTCACTGAGAAAATGTACCTTAACAGGGCCAAAAACCTTAGTTAATAGAGGGAAATAATTTTGCAAAAAATAATTTCAGGATTATCTGCCCTTTTGAAATGGCGTCCCTTCATGATTATAAACATGTATGCCAAAGTGTCCGGCTTTTATAGTTTCTGAGAAAATGGACCTTAATGAAAATGTTAGCCAACGCCGGCGCAGACGAGAGGGTCGTGACAATAGGTGTCCCAAAACATTTGTTTACATTTCAAAGAGATTGATTACTTAGTATTCATTTCATCGATTAATTACATATTTACTAGTAAAGAACGTACATTTAGCTAGGAATAGTTTTTATAGTTTTTTTTTCGCTGATGCATTATGGGTTGTATAACTTCCGTTGTTACAGAGGTTTAGTAAACAAACTGAAATATCAAAAGCCGTTTCATATGGTAAACCATTATTTGTATTAAATTATCATATTTTTAGTTAACTTTTCAGAGCTGAGGATGTTCGGATGGTTGGCAACATTCTTTGTGTATGGAAACGATTATTTTCGAATAGACAAATGATCAGTTTTTCGAATGTCGAACATTGTTCATCGACCAAAACGTACATTTGATTTTTTTGTCGAACTTTCTCAGGTTTAGTATAGATAGGACAGAAAACGATCAAATTCAATCAGATTTTATTTAACTTCCAATTAGAACACATTGATTGATGTTTTCTTATCAACGACTATTTTACTTATTTCTAAGGAAAAAACAGAAACATACACCTTAGCCTTTTATTTAAGATTAAATAAAAAAAAAATCTAAGAATATTTGATAAGAACTTTGTATTTTTATTTCATTTTAATATGGTCACTGACTAGACCAAACTGAAGTTACGTTTCACATTTTATAGAAGAATTAAGAGTTGCGTTCATTATTATGAGAAGTTCATAGAATATTTAGGACTGAATTATCTTATAATCGTCTTGATTTTATTTGCAAACTTCTTATATTTCATTTTATACTTTTAAGTCAAAAGTAAGTTGTGAACTGTCACTCTTGTTTGTGACTCAAGTTTTCTGTAAACTGGCGTACCTCTAGATGTAAGAATTATTACAAATTTCAGTAAAGTACAGTGACAAAGTCACATTAAAGGAGTAACAAAAAGTAGCCCACTATTAGAAGATGCTATATTTAGCATATGGTAGCTTGATACAGCTATATGAAACAAGATTAATCAGTCAATTTTTATTTTAAATAGAACATTGTTATTATTGTGATCAATTTAATATCGTCCTTTCATGTAGCCCCACCACGTCTTGGCGCACGTTACCACACTTTAGGAACATTAAAGGAACCTGTTACCGCAGCTGTACCTTTACAATATCTTAATATTGGCAATACTCTTACCTTCTTCTTCTTCTTCACTCAATTCAGTATCCTCATTTTCATAACTCTGACCTCTGGCTCCGTGAGATATTGTGCCAACAGCGCAACAAAATTTCGGGCACAAAAAGCCTTTTCCGGTCCCTTCCGCGTCTTCTTGAGCGTTTTGAAGAGAGGTTTGGAGATACCTCAAAAACACCACTACCAGCGCCTGCAAATATGAAGGAACAATCGTGATTCATTGGCAAACAAATATAAGGTTATGGTATATTCATATATACGAACAATCAAAAATAATTCAAGATTAAGATATCTTACAGTATAGATACGAACAAACAAAACAATATAGGATTATGGACACAAGAAGAAATGAAAATATATCTTTGAACGTTGTAACTCTTGAAATTACAGCATTATAATGTCAACCTTTTCCACATGTTACAAGTTAAGCCGAAACATTTATTATCATTTTTAAGATGTTGAACGTTTACCTGACTGCCACACAGCGCGAAAAGAAGAGTTCCTGCAGGTGAAAGAATTTTCTTTTCAAATTTATCGAGCAGAATTCCGGTGCACCCCTTATGGTAAACAGTATCCGAGAGTTTGTTTGCATGGTTTCTCTTTTCGTTGTTATTCTGAGTGATGCATGGAACGCGGGCTTTGACGCTACAGCAACTAAAAGGAACCTCCTCTAAGCCATCCTTCATTTTTCTGTAATGAATTTACGTACAATGTATAATACGTTTGAAAACAAATACAATCATAATTTTATTATATATTATGTGCATTTCAAAACGTGACTGATACGCTGCATATGCTTATGCTCATAATTTACGAGGGTGAGCCAATTTGTTTGCTGCGTTGCTGTATCTAAGGGAAGTAACTTATTTTTTTGAGGTTATAATATGTACCCTTGCTTATTTGAATTATCTCGCCTATTATCAATAACTGAATAAAAACTGAAATAATTGAACTGTCACATGTTGTCATAATTACTTTGATTTGTATGCAACAACCAGTAAGAAACTATTCTATTAAAAAAGCAGAAGGTTGTTTGAAATTAATCGTGCAAACACTTATCACGGAGTGTTATTTTCGTAAAAAGACACAATGTCTGTTTGCTGTAACAGTTTATTCACTATATGCATGCTGGCACTTTGACAATACATAGCTACAACTTGTATGCTGTTTAGATCATAAGGCCTGTACCATATTTTCATTTGACTTAATAGCAGTTCAGTGAATGTAATGGTATACATGATAATTCAGTGGTTATCTTGATTTATTTGTAATGCGAACATACATCAAGGTATATAAATGGCTTCTGTTTGATTGTAGGACTATTACTGGCAGTAAATGTCACAGTGTGAGAAAAATGTGCAGCCAGACCGGGACTCGAACCCGGGACCCTCGGAATATCGTACCGCGGCTCTTCCGACTGAGCTTTCCGGCCGCCTATCTCCCCTAAATATTGAACAGTTCTGAACCGTGACATATAGAATAAAATGTTTACAAATTTTCTTCCAGGAAAGTGCAATGCCCTGACCGTGAATACATGTATTTGGTACACGGTCAACATTTGTCTCGCCCTTGGGATCACTTAGTTCACATAGACTCATATTGAAAACAGATATTTAAAACTACATTGACAAGAACATGGATATTATTCAAATGGCATTGCCGCGAGGTCATCCACTAAAGCCATATACATGTACACTAAAATGGGATTCTATAAAAGATAAGCGATAGGTTCGATATAAAAATTCTTCAAACTTTCGAAATTTTTGCTCTTTATTTAGATCTAGAAAACATTTAAATAACTTACGTAGCTGTAACTGGATCGGACATATTAAGATAGTCTGTATTTATCCAATCAACTCTAAACCAGTCTTGGTAGGAACCACTTCCGCAACACTGTGATCTCATCTGCATGCGGTCAATTGTCGCTTTTATGGCTAGGTTGATTTTATAACGTTTCATTGAGTCCAATAGACCGTCATATAAAGCAACCTCCACGTCGTTCTTATGTGAAATTGTGAAGATACCGGCAGCAAGTATTACCCAAATAAACAAAAATGTTGAGAACACAAGTGGAGCAAGGAACAGTCGAAATTGTTCGCACGTGTCAGCATCTCCACAGGCGTATGCACATTTGACTGCAGCACCATTTAACAGAAACATAATTGTTCCAACGCCCCCTATAAAGTGTGGGAAGAGTCCAGAATTGTAACTTTTCAGGAGAATAAGCTCATTAGAAATGTGGATTTGGATGTAAATTCCTATCCCTATCAAAGCTAAACCGGCCAAGGATAAAATCGAACACAATACCGCAGTCCTCGTTCCTAGCGTTTTTCTCGCATCTTCAGAGAAAATGAACACACATACCATGATACAAGTTGATAGCAAACCATGTCTGCTAAATTATCAATAACTGATTGTTTTCCATTTCTTTTATGTCAGCCATCTTTTAACGTCTACACTGCAAGTGTTGACGTCATTTCAAAATTGTCAACGTATTTCCCGCCATTATGTAATAGTTATAGACAGTGGCTGGGGCGACGTCGAGAATAAATCTATAGCAGAAACATCCCGAGATTTCGCTCAGCCAGTGTTATAGTCCTGTTACTAACGTGTTTCGTGTAGCTAACTGTTTTATCGCAATATCATTATTATTTGTAATAGAAATCGGCATAAAAGTACTATGTTCAGTGTTTTCCCTCCCCTTTGCTTCAAATGTAAACCCTAGAAGGAATTGAACCAATACCAGCTAATCAATCTATGTTTTTGCTACTGGGAATGTGTGATACCCCTGCCCCATTCCAAACTCTGAAAAAAATACTCTTATATAAATTATAAGAACAACTGAATTCACTATGAAATTTCCAGCGTTCTGTACCCGTTTAGCCGTAAAAATAACACGCCATCAAGACGATTTGCTGTCGTTATTCACGCGTTAACTAGTCACACGCTCACAACGCTCGACAGGCGTTGACAAATAGTTCGTCCCGCGCCAGAGGCACGTTAGCACACACTTATGTGTTTCTGACGTATCCTACTTCGTCACTGTTATACAGGTTATACAGGCTTCTCGTGCGTTAGACACACGCTATAGTTATGCGTTAGACGCACGTTAATCCACGCTAGATGTGTCAACCTCATTTAAGACCGTTCAAAAATGCAACGGTTGAAACGTTCAGAGAGCATTGACGAGAACGTCATGGTGTTACAAGGTAATATCATATCGATATGAATCTCGCAATAGTCAAAGAGGGGCAAGCGTTTACATAATTCCATAGATGGGATTGTGTCTGCATGTATAGTGATATGATAGCGTAATAATAAATTTGTATCCATATTCTGTAAACAGTGATCATTACCATCCGACATGAATGCATGTGTTGCAGCAAGATCGGTAACATCTATATTTTGAAAGCTATTACGTCAACTGTCATTCGGCTGTGTACATACATATCATTGAAGAAATCGGAACACCTCGGTATTCATAGTCATCAAGGGTTTAATATGGACTAAAATAGTGACTTTTAGGTCTGTCTGGTTATCTTGAAGGTCCATCTTAAAAGAGTATAATGTTCAAGTTTGAAGACAATCCATTCCAAAATAACAATGTTATAGCCACTTATAGCCAATCAAGCAAAATTTTGTCATTTGACCTTGAAGTTCAAGATCATTTATAAAAAAACGCAAGGTTATTCTGGTCTACTATAAGGTCTTGACCCAATGGGTTTTGTGGCCAAGTATGAAGACAACACACCAAGAACTTAACAAGAGGGCCATGATGGCCCTGAAATCGCTCACCTGTATATAGGCCCTTGGGGCGGGCTAATTTTAACCCAGTGGCTTTTTTTATAAACCAACTTGGCAGGCACCCATTAGAAGATGTTTCATGATAAATATCTAAGCTCTAGCTCTTGGGGTTTTTAAAAGAAGATTTTTTAAAGTTTTTACTATAGACATATAAGGAAAATCAGAACCCCGGGCAGGGCCAATTTAACCCTGGGGCTTTTATTTGAACAAATTTGGTAGACACTCACTAGAAGATGTTTCATGCTTAATATCTAAGCTCTAGCTCTATGGGTTATTTAAAAGAAGATTTTTTAAGTTTTTACTATAGACATATAAGGAAAATCAGTACCCCCGGGGCGGGGTCAATTTTGATCCCAGGGCTTTTATTTGAACAAACTTGGTAGACACTCACCAGAAGATGTTTCATGCTTAATATCTAAGCTCTAACTCTTTGGGTTTTTTAAAAGAAGATTTTTTAAGTTTTTACTATATACATATAAGGAAAATCAATGACCCCCGGGGTGGGGCTAATTTTGACCCCAGGGATTTTATTTGAACAAACTTGATAGACACTCACTAGAAGATGTTTCATGCCAAATATTTAAGCTCTAGCTCTTTCGGTTTTTTAAAAGAAGATTTTTTAAGTTTTTACTATATACATATAAGGAAAATCAATGACCCCCCGGGGCGGGGCCAATTTTGACCCCAGGGCTTTTATTTGAACAAACTTGGTAGACACTCATCAGACAATGTTTAATGCCAAATATTTAAGCTCTAGCTCTTTCGGTTTTTTAAAAGAAGATTTTTTTAAGTTTTTACTACATACATATAAGGAAAATCAATGACCCCCGGGGCGGGGCCAATTTTGACCCCAGAGCTTTTATTTGAACAAACTTTGTAGACACTCATCAGACAATGTTTAATGCCAAATATTTAAGCTCTAGCTCTTTCAGTTTTTTAAAAGAAGATTTTTTAAGTTTTTACTATATTCATATAAGGAAAATCAATGACCCCCTGGGCAGAGCTGCATCAGTACTAAGGGTGTAGTACTTAAGTACCAGTACCAGTACTTGGCAAATTATGCAGTACAATTACCAGTACCAGTACTAGATTTTAGCTCGGTACTGCAGTACCAGTACTTTTTTTGGTGAAGTAATTAAGTATCAGTACCATTACTTTTATATATTCATCAAAGTTTGAATAAAAACAGTGTCAAACAAATAATTGCAAATATTATTCAGCAAAGAAATAAAATCATAATTTACTTTAAAGTTAACATAACATATTTACAACTTTATAGTTTCAAAATACTTTTGACAAACAATATTTACAACATATATTCATGTCATATCTAATTGTTTAGTAACCAGTCAACTGTGTAAATACAATGCAAACATCTTTCATTTAAAACACAACAGTCTTTTGTTGCCTTTCACACCTTCACACCTCTGTTCAATTTATACCAAAGTAAACAAGAACTTTTTATGGTGCTAACAATATCACTTTTTTCACTTGAAATGAGATTATTTAGAATAGAAGAAATTAATTAATTTTGCTCTTTTACTAGTAAATACAAAGTAATAAAATATTTTAATAAGGATATTTTAGGGTAAAGAGTTATTGAGTCTGTTTATCTTAATTTATTTTTTACTTAAAGTCTTTGGTGCTTTATGATGAATACTATGTTAACATTTGAAGGAATATTGCAGCAAATTATCTTTAGATTTGATAACTTACTTTTTCACAAAAATAAAATATAGTTAATGTAATTTACAGCTTTATTTTATGAGAAAACCTGATGCTACTTTTAATTTTTATCAAAACCAAAAGTACTGGGTAATGCAGTAGCAGTACTACTTTTTAAGACGGTAATGCAGTACCAGTACCAGTAGTAGCAAAATTTTGTAAGAGTAATTCAGTATCAATACCAGTACTTGCAAAATCGCTGCAGTACGTACTGCAGTACCAGTACCAGTACCAGTAATGCAGCTCTGCCCCTGGGACGGGGTCAATTTTGATCCCAGGGCTTTTATTTGAAAAAACTTGATAGACACTCATTAGAAGATGTTTCATGCCAAATATCTCACTTATAACTCTTTGGGGTTTTTTTTTAAAAGAAGATTTTTTAAGGTTCTACTATATACATGTACTTATAAGGAAAATCAATGACCCCCGGGGCAGGATCAATTTTGACCCCAGGGCTTTTATTAGAACAGAACAGAACAGAACATACGTTTTATTTAGACTTGTACATAGTACATCGTCATGCATATAGATATACATTGTATAAAACAAACTTGGTAGACACTCAGCAGACAATGTTTCCTGCCAAATGTTTAAGCTCTAGCTCTTTCAATTTTTTAAAAGATGATTTTTTAAGGTTTTACTATATACATATACCCCCTGGGACGGGGCCAATTTTGACCCAAGGGCTTTTATTTGGACAAACTTGATAGACACTCATTAGAAGATGTTTCGTGCCAAATATCTAAGCTTTACCTCTTTAGGGTTTTTAAAAGAATATATTTTAAGTTTTTTCTTTCGGTTGCCATGGCAACCAGAGTTCTGCATGGAAATAAATTCTTTAAACAATTTTTAAAGGTGACCACCAAAGGACCATTCCTGTGAAGTTTGGATGAAATTGGCTTAGCAGTTTATGAGAAGATGTCGCTTAAAGTAAAAGTTTACGGACGGACGACGGACAGACGTACGACGGATGGACGCCGGACGAAAAGTGATCACAAAAGCTCACCATGTCACTTTGTGACAGGTGTGCTAAAAAGTTATGGCCAAGGTACAAGTTTGTGGTCGGCAAATAAACCGAGCTAAAAATGTGTCAAATCGTTATGCGTTTAGAGAACATACCAAAAAACACTATCATTGGGTATCAAAGAAACTACATGTATCGTTGTGAAAATAAAACACGGATTTAAAACAAGCAATTATCATAGTATTGCAAGCAATCCATAAGTCCCCTACCGGTTAGAACCCAAGCAACATTCTGATGGGCCATTGGCCATTCAATTTTACCAGTGAATGAATGACATGAATGAACTTAAATCTTTTGAGTTCTAAGTTTGTCTGTGTTAAGTTTCCCTGCCTAGTAGGGAAATTATGGTTATACAACGGATAATCAAAAGGTCCAATTTTCTCAGGATGAATAAGAGTAACTAATGTTTCAACTTTTCTCTATTTTAAGTAAATTTGTTGGAAAAAATCTTTAAATGTGATCTCAGGAAACAGTTTTTATGAACAGACAGACAGACATACATACAGACATACTTAAAGAGACTCTAAAGTTATTTTTTTCAAACATCCCTGTTACCAAATTATAACATATTTTAATGCAAAATTCTTAAAGAGATTATAACTCTTGAAATAAAGATGCTAGATTTATGAACATTGTCATATATGATGTGAGTTTTACTTTAAGTTTAAAGATACCATTTATAGTCACAAAGAAGATAAGTAAAAAAAATAACAATTTTCAAATATAGCATTAACTTTAATGTATATAGTAAGTAACAAACAATATAATGTAGGTGTTGGTAATGAATATTTATTTTGAATTTGAAGAAAATCCATGGAGAAAAAAATAGAAAGATAAAGAATGAAAAAGAAAAATTCAAAGTTTAAGGAGGAGATAATTCTGGAAAAGTGGATTCTAGATTTACAAACCTTGTCATATT